TAGAAAAATATAAATATAAAAAATATAACCCCGGATGTCTGGGGGACAGTTATTCGCCTACATGTTATGAATGCTGGCGTACCATAAATGATCAATTATGAACAGTTTAGTTTGTGCCTTCAAGTCATTGCCCATAGGAAGACGTTCAAGGGGCCAATGTGAAAAAAAAAAAAAAAAACGGTGTTCCCCTTTAAATGTACCTCTTGGGAATTTTCCCTCTTGAAGGTTACCATTGGGGAGAATGGCATTTGGCTTACCGCACAGTGACGTCACTGCCGGACGATGTCAGGAGTGAAGTATTACTATATTTGGACAAAAATTTGCCATTCGCAGACTCAGTGATCATAACGAAAAATATTGTTTTTTATTTTTTTACTGATTAACGTTGAATTTATTAAATAACCACAAATGTATTAGTTTTAGCTATAAATAATTACCCATTGGTTATACTGATCAGACCAATGATGACATGTTTAGCCACATGTCGTCATTCAACCGCCGGTTGTCTAGATGGTGTCCTGAAAACAACGTGGGCTACATTAATAATTTGCAATCCTTTTGGGGAAAGCCTGGTCTGATTCAGAGAGACGGCATCATCCCACTTTAGATGTTGCAGCTCTTCTTTCTAGGAATCTGGCCACATTTATTAGTCCTCCAAAACCCTGACCACCCAGGGTGCAGACCAGGAAGCAGATTTGTAGTTTAACACACATCTCTGAAGCTTCTCTACTCTTACCTACTCTTTACTCCATCCAGACAGTGTCTTGCCCATGACCAAAATCTAATAAATTAGCAAATATTCCCAAAGGAGTAAATCATGATAATCTAATTAAAATTACAATAACTCCAATTGAGGAAAAAGTTAAAACGATTAAATGTGGTCTGTTTAACATAAGCTCTCTTTCCCCTAAAAGTCTGCTAGTTAATGACTTGATTCGTGATAATCACATTGACTTGTGTTGCATTACAGAAACCTGGCTGCAGCAAGAGGATTATGTGAGCATCAATGAGGCAACTCTTTAAAGCTATTTACATTTTCACATACCCTGAAATTCTGGAGGAGGAGAAGCAACAATCTTTACTTACTGATTACTCCCAAAGCAGCTAATACTTACAACTCTTTTGAACATTTAACCCTCAATTTCCCTCATCCAGATTTCAAAGCAAGAAAACCTCTTCTTTTTGTAACTTTGTATCGTCCACCAGGTCCTTACTCTGAATTTTTAGATGAGTTTTCAGAGTTCCTTTCTGATTTGGTATTACAAACTGACAGGGTCATCATAGTGGGAGATTTTAACATCCATGCTGACATTGAAGGCGATAGCTTAAGAACAGCCTTTAATGCTATCTTAGACACTATTGGCTTTGTTCAAAATGTGAATAGTCCCACACATTCTCATCTTCCTACTTTGGATCTTGTGCTGACATATGGCATCGAATGTGAAGAAATAACAGTATTTCCTCACAATCCTGTCCTCTCTGACCACTTTCTAATAACCTTCAGGATTACTTTAACAGAGTTCTCCTCCCCCAAAAGACGGTTCAATTTTAGTAGATCATTATCAGATAGTGCAGTTATAAATTTAAACAATCAACGAGCAAATATAGATTATTGTACCTATGGAGAGAAGGGGTTTGAGAACTACACCATCAAGGAGATGTGGGAACTTTACAGCCAATATGTTGTGGTGAAAAAAAAGAAGAGTGGTCTTCATGGAAAGTCAGACGGACAAAATCCACAAGGCGTGGTGCTAAAACTTCTGATGCAATGAGTGGTGAAAAATAATCAGTTCTCTATTTTTACTTACTGTTCAGCAACCAAAGGTCAGCATCTCGAAGCATTGTCCTCCTACATGGCCTGGGGATGATAGGAAAAATAAAGAGTAGATTTTTTTAACATTGAGTAGAGGAGTCCATATGAATGAGTAGTCAGAGTCTGGATGTTAAGGTGAGAGTCAGAAAGGCAACAAGACCATTGACACTAAAGATGCAGCCTTAGCTATTGGATTTTGGTAAAAGAAAAAAAAATACCAAGTGTAAGTTTCACCTCTAGGTGCAATTGATCTGTGAATGTATGTTTGTTTTTTTACTTTTAAATGAAGTTGAATTTTTTTTCTAATTGCGTCTGTCATGCACCTGTAAGCTGTACTGTCTGACCTTTTCCAGTAGGTGGCAGCAGAGGAGCGCAGAAACTGAGGAGAATGAAGAAAGTGTTGGTTTGATTTGAGTCTTTTATATCCGGATAGAAAGATAGGCTCTCTGTTGAATGACTGATGCTTAAAATGATCCATTGAGATATTTTGAATCTTGAATGAAAACTTTTCTTTCAATCAAACCCCTTTTAATTTAGATGTAATGCCATTTCTAGTTGGAGCTGCAGAGAGCATCTCCACAATCACCTACAGGACACTGCTCTGATGCCCCCCTCCTTTCTCACATCCTGGCCCCCTATGGAGAGATATTTGTGCCATCGGTTTGAGCGCGCAGGAACCAATCCGAGCGCGCAGTGAGACAACACGCGCGCGCGCAAAACCGGTCTGGCGCGCGCTCAACTCTGAAAAACCCTCTCAACACACTGTTCTCGCGCTCAGTTTCATCTCTGCGCGTGCTCGAATCCGTCTCTGCTCGCGCTCGCTCGACCTGCTCTCTCTCTGCGCTCAACACCAGCTGTGCGCTCGGCTGTTTCTCCGCTCGCTCGACTCTCTGCGCTCGCAACTTCAGCAATGTATGTAAATGAACCATACCATCAGCCAATCACACCCAGCTTCTTTTCATCCAATGAAAGCATTCCTTCCTTCTTCTTCTTTTCTATCATGGCGGTTCGCAAGCAACTTCAAGGTGCATACCGCCACCTACTGTTCATGAGTGTGTAGCAACATTGTTTTACATCTATTAAATTCTATTTTTTAATTTTGCATTCTGAAGATAACTAAATAATGCTTTCCTTAATCTATAAACATCCTTTATATTTCCTTTATTTCCCAATAATCCTTTAAGACTCCATTCTTGGCCTGTCATTTCAACTACTCTTCTCAATTTTTCCCTTTCAGGTTCATATGTTTTACAGTTCATTAATATGTAAGCATTCGTTCCAAATACTACATCCGGTTAGATGAAAAAAAATACATAAATAAATAAAAACACAATCAGGAAAATCAAACAACTCTTACAGTTATTTTGTCAACATTCCTAAGATAGTACTATAAAATATCTTGAATTATCTCAAATAAACTTCAGTAAAACAGTTATTAGATCATTGCCTCATCCATCTCTTTTACCTGCTATTGACATGGATTTAAATTTGCTGTTTTAAAAGAAAAATAAGGAGGATATTTCAGGTTCCAGTATGGTTCAACAGTATATAGATAATGTTTTGGATCATATTGGCCTTACTCTTAGCTTTTGTGGCGGGTGTTTCTTCTTTTTGTTGTTTTTTATGGAGGTTGGCAAACAACAATTACCGCCACCAACTGAAAAATCCTGTTTATCAAATTATTCTTTTTAATATATATAATAAAGAATAACCCTCTTATTTAGAGTCCATCTGTAAAAGGTCTTCTAAATAATAATTGTTAAATTTCAGATCAGGTCTGCTGTCTGAATAATTGCGTTTAAATTAATATAACGGTCGCTGATCTAAAATCAGAGCAAACTAAACTTCTTAATGGAACGATTTCTTCAATCCATTGTAAGGCCAATATGATCCAAAACATTTCTCCTTTGTAGGCTGAATTCCATCACTGATTCTTTTACCCGATTTAAAAATAAATTATGAAACTAAAACAAAACACCATTCCTAATATTGGAATATTTTGAAGCATCCATAAAAAATTTAACATATCCATAATATTTTTTATCTATATATTGTTGAACCATACTGGAACCTGAAATATCCTCCTTATTTTTCTTTTAAAACATCAAATTTAAATCCATGTCAATAGCAGGTAAAAGAGATGGATGAGGCAATGATCTAATAACTGTTTTACTGAAGTTTATTTGAGATAATTCAAGATATTTTATAGTACTATCTTAGGAATGTTGACAAAATAACTGTAAGAGTTGTTTGATTTTCCTGATTGTGTTTTTATTTATTTATGTATTTTTTTTCATCTAACCGGATGTAGTATTTGGAACGAATGCTTACATATTAATGAACTGTAAAACATATGAACCTGAAAGGGAAAAATTGAGAAGAGTAGTTGAAATGACAGGCCAAGAATGGAGTCTTAAAGGATTATTGGGAAATAAAGGAAATATAAAGGATGTTTATAGATTAAGGAAAGCATTATTTAGTTATCTTCAGAATGCAAAATTAAAAAATAGAATTTAATAGATGTAAAACAATGTTGCTACACACTCATGAACAGTAGGTGGCGGTATGCACCTTGAAGTTGCTTGCGAACCGCCATGATAGAAAAGAAGAAGAAGGAAGGAATGCTTTCATTGGATGAAAAGAAGCTGAGTGTGATTGGCTGATGGTATGGTTCATTTACATACATTGCTGAAGTTGCGAGCGCAGAGAGTCGAGCGAGCGGAGAAACAGCTGAGCGCACAGCTGGTGTTGAGCGCGGAGAGAGAGCAGGTCGAGCGAGCGCGAGCAGAGACGGATTCGAGCACGCGCAGAGATGAAACTGAGCGCGAGAGTTGAGCGCGCGCCAGACCGGTTTTGCGCGCGCGCGTGTTGTCTCACTGCGCGCTCGGATTGGTTCCTGCGCGCTCAAACCGATGGCACAAATATCTCTCCATAGCCCCCTCCTCCCTTCTTCTCTCCATCTTTCCTCAGCAACAGCCACACCCCAATGCTCCAGCTGCGCAGAGAAAGGAAGCTTTTAATCTGTTAGCAGTAAAATAATAATAATAAAAAAGAAAAACAGCTTAAACTTTGATTAACCATGAATATTTATAAAGCTGTGCTCTAACAAATGCAGCATCTGTTGAATATGTGTTGCCAAGCGATGCTGCACAGGATTTAAACGGGATTCCCTCCTTCCTGCGCATATATTAGCGCGTTTACGGTAGCTCAATTTGCAATAGGGAGGGACCTTAGGGCCAAACAGCGCTCTCATTGTCACTGCATCCCCACTCACACACACAGGGGTATTAGTGTCAGAGCCGCTCAGCAGCTTAAACCTGCAGGTAAGGCACGCAAACGGATTCATTCATATAATTTTTAATATAGTTGTAGACATTTTTCTACGCACAATCCTGCAGGAATAGGGAGTTTGGACGCGTTTTTACGCAGCGCTTGGATATGTAAAGTTTCTAAAGCAGTGGGAATTTTACTGTTGCGCTATTTGCAGCTATGTAGATCAATTTTAATGTATGTTTTTATTTTTAAAGCCATTTTCTACCTCTAAATTATATGTTTTAGAGGTTAAAAAAGGACTGGTTTTGATTTGGTGATGTTGGTGCGTCTCCGCCGATGCGCTACTGTTTGCTGTCGTTGCCTCTTTTGTTCTGGTCCACGCCTGCATGGTGCTGAAAAGCCGGCTGCGGCATCCACTGCAGCAGATAAACCAGCGTTTAACGGGAGGAAGGGATTGGGATTTAAAGAAGGATGCATTAAAAAATGTAACCATGTTTTGCACGTTCTAGACATGTTTAGTCTGGGACCACATATCTAAGCAGCCCTGCCCAGGAATGATAACTGGCTGGCACAAGCAAAAGGTTGCATTGCTTCAGATGAGCCGGCAGCATGACTAGAAATCACTGGCGTTCACTCTGCTGACTTATTACCTTTCTGGATTCTGCATTTTTGCTTGAATTTCCCTGGAGATTTTCTTGTCATCCATTGTACAGTAGCTTAAGATCAAAGTGCAGTGCTGCAACAGAGGCAGACTGTGATAAAGTGAAAAAGGCTGTAAAATAATAAAAAAAATAATAATATTTTTTTTGTGCTTAATAGAGATCCTGACTGACAAATAATTGATTTAAAAAATTTCTACTTTAAATTGTTTTAAACAAGTAGTAATACCTCTTTAAAGATTTTAACAATTTCCAAAACTATTTGCCTTTATAATTAAGCTACATAACTAAGTTATAAATTGCAGTGTCATGAAACATGGTGATGGCAGCATCATGCTGTGGGGATATTTTCCATTCGCATTGGGACTGGTGGACAGATTGAAACAGCCACTGTAGATCTGCAGCTTTATCTGTGCCCAGGTCAGCAAGAACATGGTAGTGGCAGCATCATGCTGTGTTTACAGTTTTAATTGCCACAAATTCTGATTTTGATTAAGGGATGCTTTAAAAATATTTTGGTTTTTTTTGTTTTTTTTTTGAGAGACATCTATGTAACAATTTTGTATAATTTTGTAATATGTATGTTTTTACTGAAAATTGTCTTTAAAATGGCCTTTTTATTTGACACTGTATGATGAAAAACATTGTTTGATGAACAGACTGACACCTCAATAGTTCAGCGCAGACGTATCTATAAGGCTGTAGCATATTCTCCTGAATTACTTCGGTTAGAAGTTCCTGCGCTGTTCTTCGGATGTGACGGGAATCATGTCCGTGTTGAATTGGTCCGAGCGAGCAAAGAAAGTTTTGGTCCCAGGTGGCAGTATCACTAGAAAACTCTGTAATGCGTCTTTAAGGAACGAATGAGATGTTACCAAACACGCACTTCAATTTAACACCATAACCATTTGTACTAATATCAATAACAGAACTGAAACTTGTTTTTTTTAGTTACATCAGGCTAACATTCGCATTATAGGACAACTAGTTAGTACTGAAACTCTCTTTTAAACATCTTAAAGAGAGTTTAAAGCTCCCATGAGTGACTAGTGTATGAAATACTTGTAATTGCCATCTTCTGGGTCATGGGGGTAGTGTCAGCAGAGACTCCAACATTTCCCTATCCCACAGGCATCTCCTCCAGCTCTGATTGGGGAAGCCTAAACGCTCCTAGGCTAGCTGAGAGGCTGGAAACTCACCTGGTATGTCAGTATGTATTAGCGCGAAGGTTGTGTTGAAAACGCGGACTGGGTTTTTCTCAGCATGGTATTTTTATATATAAATAAGTGAAATGGAGTTGATTTTTAATGTCCGTCGTCTTTTAGCGTGAAAAATTGGGGATAAGGAGTGTGAGTGTGTGAAAACCCTTAGATGCGTGAGTCTCACACCCAATGGGTGAGAGTTGGCAGCCCTGAAACAACATCCTCAGTTAGGTCAGCACTAGCCTGAGTGCCATTCCGAACTTAGTCCCGCCCACAACGTTTGAGGTCGGGAGGTTTGGTCTGGCATTGCTCCATAGTAGCGCGAGTATGCTCGCACAATATCTTGCGGGCCAATCAAATTGGGCTTTATACGATGATGGACAGATGATCAACAGTAACGTAATCAACCACGTCACCAAAGCGCGCTTGGGTGACAACAACAATGGCTGCCGCTGGAGAGTTGAGGTGTGTAGATTCTGCTATTAGGTCTGTTCTAGAAGATATCGACAGCAGGGGTGTAAATCAGATCCATCATGGCGATTCGATTCAGTATGGATTTCCTGACCCAACGATTCGATTATTTTCGATACTCAGGAATACACCACGATTCGATTCGATTAATCGGTAAAAAAATTTTTATTATTATTATTATTTTTTTTACACCTTACAGGCTAAACAAAGTTTTAAGTTTAAAATAAATCAATGAAAGCTGTAATATCGTTATGCATTTTTTTTTTTAGAAACAACAGCAAATAACAGAAGTAGAAACGTTGCATCAAAAATACTGCAGAAAATCAGTGCAATGATTGCAATTCAATAGTGTCGACGTCCCCTTGAGAGACGCTCCGCTGCTCCTCTCCCAAATTGTAGATGACCGCAAACAGCGCCGCAGACAGGAGGCCAGCTTGTTTTGTTTTTATGACCGAAATTGCGGAAAACAACTCGTGAAGTTTGACCCGTTAGAAGAGCGAGGTGCGCGAGAACGCTGGGACCCTTTTTCCACCTGGAGCGCCGCTCTTTTTGGCCCTCATGTCCCTCCGTCGTCGGACTAAACTCGCCCCCACTTCCTCGCCGCCTCGGCCGTATCTAGACCCACAGCGTGTAGCACAGACCACGCTTCAATATTGAGCATGATTTAAAAATGTCTGTGTCAAGCTTGCTGCAACACACTGCTGTAAGAGTATAACCAGGAAGTGAAGTAGGAGGGCAAAATAGGTTTAGCACGGGAGGGAGAATTACGCCCAGGAGCAAATGGATAAAAATTGACCGGAGGAAAAAAAAAACATGAATCGATTATCTTGCGGACGTGTCAATGCATCGGATCGTTGGCTTTTGGATCGATGCATCGATACAAAACGATTATTATTTACACCCCTAATCAACAGCAAATTAATTTTAAAAGAGGAACAGAGAAACGCGATCAAGGCTCATCTTCTTATTCTAAGCGTGCAACTGCACGCTTTGATTTTTGTTGACAACAACTATGAGTTGCTTAACATACGTCACGCACTCCGTTGCTCTTATTGGTTGTAGGTCTATCCGATTGAGTGCAGAGGCATTTTTTTCCTGGTTCGTTCGAAACACGCCCCATAATCACAGCTCTATGGAGCAGTATCAGACTCATTCTGACTAGAATAGGGGGTTTTCAGTGACGTCACTGGCCAGCTTACGGTCCGCCATCTTGGGTGGCATATTATCGTATATCATATATATCATGTCGCGAATGGATAAGTACGCCAGCACGCTAGAGCCACCAGATCATGGAACATATCTGAGGAAATGTTTGGTGATCGACCATATGGACCCCTATGCCCTCCACGGTGCCTTGTTTAGCACTAATCCAGATGATTGGCCAAATGTAGAGCACGGTAACATAGTTCATTACCCGGTGTTCAGTGAAAACCCTCTGCACACTCTGGAGGAAATGAGAGCGTACAAGGGTCTAGAGGCTCACAACCAGTTCACATCTGGTTGGGTACGAGATGTCGAAGTGATGTACATGAAGGAAATCGCCATCATACGTGGACGGGTGAGTTTTAATAAGATGGTAAAAATGTAAACAATCCGAAGCAGGGCTCGCTATGCTAGGTGGCTAACGGCCGGCGGTGCGCGAACAGTTCCAAAGCTACAAGTCCTTGGAGTCTCATGTGCAGTTTACGAATGGATGGGTTCAGGAGCTGCAGCTAATAAAGCCAGCAAACAGAGCTAACCGTTAGTGCTAACAACCACTCAGGCATGTAATGTACTTTTAACTAGCTGCTATGTGTTTCAAAGGTTTGGTTAGTAACGTTAACTGCCAAACCTCCCTAAACCCTCCAGGTTTCTCACATATTTGAGCCTTTTCCCGCTGGTTGAAATCAAGTTAAGGTGAAATTAATCAAATTAAAACACGGCTGAGAGAGGGAGTCCAGTACGCGGTGGTCATAGGCAGTAGTCTCAGTAGCGGCGGCGGAGGCAGTCAACATTGCGGCCACGGAAAGTAATACGTCATGACGCCCAAGCCCTATTATTAATATATTCTTACATGTTTTAAATGCTTGACAGTTAATTACCTGTGACAAAGTGAGCACTGCAGACTCTGGCGTGTTCCAGCTTCACACCGTCCAAATCGGACCTGGATATCCGTGTCAGCCATAGGTGACGGCGTTGTTCAGATAGCTGTTTTGTTTTTTCACATTGGTTCACGATTACGGCTGGTATGCGATAGAAAGAGCGTTGATCTCCACCTCCACGGGCCGTGCAACCAACAATTACACACGATTTCACCATTTTTCACTGTCAATACTGCCTAAGGCTGCCACCCAATATGGCGGACGCGCTGAGTAGTCACGTGAGCGCGACGTCACATGAAAACCCCCTATTGAGTAGGACTACGTCAGGCTACTGTAGGTCAGCACCCCACCCCCTTCAGAATTAAAACCTGTAGGGTTGTGTAATATTTCTAATAAAGTGTATGTTATGCCAGTTCTAACCTTTTTTTGGCCTTTTTTATGTTAACAGACAGGGGAAAGAAAAAATAACAAATTGTGACAAAGTTTGCAGTTATAGATCAAAATAGAAATGTATTGTAAAATAATAAAATAGATAATGTCCTTATCCACAAAGGAAATCTATGTAGCAATCGACACAACCCTATGTGAAAGCCTGACTACAGAAAATAATGCATTCTGGAATACCTTTGTGTCTTTA